TCCGCCTGCCTAGGCCTCCCAAAGTGCTGGGATTACAGGCGTGAGCCACTGCTCCTGGCCGGTACCTCTATTTAAAAAAAAAAAAAAAAAAAAAAGGTAATAGCTCAGTTGGAAATAAAGGGACACTGGTAGCTCTTGGTACCTCCTGATACCTCTTTCAGGACCAGGACAGGACTACCAGCTTTGTCTTGAGTTAGGGCAGCAGGTTCTTTCACACCTGCAGGGTCCTAACGCATGCTACGAATTTTCGAATAAGACTGCAGGGATTTAGAATGAAACCAGATGCAATTAAACTTCAGGAGAGGAGGGGGAGCTCCAGCTGCTCCTAAGAAGGCTGAAGAGAAGCCAGAGGCAGAAAAGTGGGAGGTGAGGTCAGAGGGGGTCAAGGGTCTGCCTGAGTTCTCAAAAAGGCAACATACCTGACCTCCTGCAGTATGTTTTTCTTTCTTTTCTCTTCTTCTTCTTTTTTTTTTTGTTTTGTTTGTTTTTTTGAGATGGAGTCTCACTCTGTCGCCCAGGCTGGAGTGCAGTGGCGCAATTTCGGCTCACTGTAACCTCTGCCTCCCGGGTTCACGCCATTCTCCTGCCTGAGCCTCCCGAGTAGCTGGGACTACAGGTGCCCGCCACCACACCTGGCTATTTTTCTTTTTGTATTTTTAGTAGAGACGATGAGTTTCACCCTGTTATCAGAAGGTTCAGTCTGCCTGAACCTCGTGATCTGCCCGACCTCGGCCTCCAAAGTGCACTGGGTATGGCTACCTATTAGCCCTTCTTCTTTTTTTTTTTGGATGAACAGGTCTCACTGTGTTTGCCCAGCTGGTCTCCGAACGTTTCTGGGCTGAAGGTGGATGCCTCCATCCTTGGGCCTGTCCCAAAGTTCTGGATTACAGGCATGAGCCACCACACTCCGGCAGCAAATGTTTTCAATCCACAGGCACAACCCAGTGATGGTGCAAAGAAATCCAGTTTGGTGAATACAATGCATTTTTCTTTTCTTTTTATTTTATTTTCTTTTTCTTCTTCTGCTTTTTTTTTTTTTTTTTTTTGGAGACAGAGGTCTCACTGTAAGTTGCCAGAGCTGAGTCATCGACTTGCTGGGCTTGGAGTAGATCCTCCTCCCTTGGCTCTCTCCCAAAGGTTTGGGTTTACAGGCATGAGCACCACACTCCGGCCAGCAATGTTTTCAAACCACAGGGCACAACCCAGTAAGTGAGGTATGCCAAAAATCCAATTTGGTGGAATTACGAAGCGATTGTTCCTTTTCTTATATTATTTATTTTCTTTTTCTTCTGTTCTTCTTTTGTTTTTTGTTTTTTTTTTTTGAGACGGAGTCGCAGCTGTCTTCCCACCAGGCTGGAGTGCTAGTGGCGTGAATCTACGGCTCACTGGCAGGCTCCAGCTCATCCCGGGGTTCACCCATTCTCCGCCTCAGGCCTCACCATAGTAAGCTGAGGTGACTCACAGGTGCCCGCCACCACGCACCGGCTAGTTTATATATGCTGATTTTTGTAGTAGAGGAGCGGGGTTATCATCCAATGTTAGCCAGGATTAGTCTCGATCTCCTGCCCTCGTGAATCCCACCCGCCTGTCGGTTCCTCCAAAGTGCTCGGGATTACAGGCTTTGAGCCACCTCGCCCGGCCTGTTTTTTTTTTTTTGTTATTGTTTTTTTGAGACAAATTCATTCTCCTCTATATTGTTTCAGGGGCTGGAGTGCTAGGGCTGGCGAATCTCAGCCTCACTGACAACCTCGGTCTCCCAGATTCAAGTGAATTCTTCTGCCCTAGCCTCTGCAGTACCTGGGATTGACAGGAGCATGCACCGACACACTGGCCAATTTTTATTATTTTTAGGTAGAGATGGGGTTTCACCACATTGGCCAGGCTTGGTCTCAAACTCCTGACCTCCAGGTGATCCGCCTGCCTTGGGCCTCGCCGATAATCATGCTGGGAGGGTTTGTCGGTTTAGGATTACAGGTGTGAGTCCTGAGCCCACTATGCCTGGACTTATTTTTTTAGCTTTTTTTTTTTTGTTTTTTGAGTACGTCGGAGTTCTCGCTGGTGATCTTTCCCCAGGGCTGGGTAGTGCAAAGTGGCGTGATCTCGGCGGCTCACTGCAAGCTGCGGCCTCCCGAGTAGGTCTGATTCTACGCACATTCCTCCCGCCTCAGGGCCTCCCAGGTAGTAGCTGGACTACAGATCGCGCTACCGCTCACCCTAGACGCCCGGCCTAATTTTTTGTATTTTTAGTAGAGACGGGGTTTCACCATGTTAGCCAGGATAGTCTCGATCTCCTGACCTCGTGATCCACCCGCCTTGGCCTCCCAAAGTGCTGGGATTACAGGCTTGAGCCACTGCGCCCGGCTGCCTGGTCTTTTTTTATTTTTATTTTTTGAGACGGAGTCTCACTCTTTCGCCAGGCTGGAGCAATCCCGGCTCACTGCAACCTCTACTTCCCGGATTCTGGTGATTCTCCTGCCTCAGCCTCCTGAGTAGCTGGGATTACAGGTGCCCGCTACCACGCCTGGCTAATTTTTGTATTTTTAATAGAGATGGGGTTTCACCAAGTTGGACAGGATGGTCTCGATCTCTTGACCTTGTGATCCATCCGCCTCGGCTTCCCAAAGTGCTAGGAGCGCCTGGCCATATTTTTATAAAATGAAAGAATAGGCAAGAATATAAATAGGCAATATCAGAAAAAGTCAATTTAGCAGGTTGCAACCATTTTTTTAATAAGATAAAAGAACAGAACAGGCAATAAGTAGAATAAAAATATCAGAAATAACAATCTGCCATGTTGCAATCAACTCTTTAAAAATAAAAGCAGGCCAGGCACTTTGGGAGGCCAAGGCAGACAGATCAACTGAGGTCAGGCATTTGAGATCAGCCTGACCAACATGGTGAAACCCTGTCTCCACTAAAAATATAAAAATTAGCCAGGCATGGTGGCGCGCACCTGTAATCCCAGCTCCTTGAGAGGCTGAGGCAGGAGAATTACTTGAACCTGGGAGGCGGAGGCTGTAGCAAGCCAAGATTTTACCATTGCACTCCAGCCTGGGGCAACAGAGCGAGATTCCATCTCAAATAAAATGAAATAAAATAAAAATAAAAGCAAAGAACAGACTATGTCAGAAAATATAAATTTTGTGAGTTTCAATGAACTTTGTTTATTAAATCCATGAATAGGGTGAGGCGCGGTGGCTCATGCCTGTAATCCCAGCACTTCGAGAGGCTGAAGCGGGAGGACTGTTTGAGCCCAGGAGTTTGAGACTAGCCTGGACAACATAGTGAGACCTTATTTCCAAAAAAAAAGCTGGGGTGTGGTGGCACGCATGCTTGTGGTCCCAGCTACTTGGGATGCTGATGGCGGGGGATAACTTGAGCCCAGGAGATCAAGGCTGCAGTGAGCCATGAGTGCACCACTGAACTGCAGGCTGAAACAAAAACAAAAACAAAAAATAGGCCGGGCGCAGTGGCTCACGCCTGTAATCCCAGCACTTTGGGAGGCCGAGGCGGGCGGATCACGAGGTCAGGAGATCGAGACCATCCTGGCTAACACTGTGAAACCCCGTCTCTACTAAAACTACAAAAAATTAGCCAGGCGTGGTGGCAGGCGCCTGTAGTCCCAGCTACTCGGGAGGCTGAGGCAGGAGAATGGCGTGAACCTGGAAGGTGGAGCTTGCAGTGAGCCGAGATTGCGCCACTGCACTCCAGCCTGGGCGACAGAGCGAGACTCCGTCTCAAAAAAAAAAGGAAGAAAGAAAGAAATATATTGATATTCTGAATGGTAAATAGCCTTGATCCAAGGACACTGGGAGAGGCTGGGTGCAGTGGCTCACGCCTGTAATCCCAGCACTTTGGGAGGCCGAGGCGGGCGGATCACGAGGTCAGGAGATCGAGACCATCCTGGCTAACACTGTGAAACCCCGTCTCTACTAAAACTACAAAAAATTAGCCAGGCGTGGTGGCAGGCGCCTGTAGTCCCAGCTACTCGGGAGGCTGAGGCAGGAGAATGGCGTGAACCTGGGAGGTGGAGCTTGCAGTGAGCCGAGATTGCGCCACTGCACTCCAGCCTGGGCGACAGAGCGAGACTCCGTCTCAAAAAAAAAAGGAAGAAAGAAAGAAATATATTGATATTCTGAATGGTAAATAGCCTTGATCCAAGGACACTGGGAGAGGCTGGGTGCAGTGGCTCACGCCTGTAATCCCAGCACTTTGGGAGGCTGAGGTGGGCAGATCACCTGAGGTCAGGAGTTCACGACCAGCCTGGCCAACATGGCGAAACCCTACATCTACTAAAAATACAAAAATTAGCTGGATGTGGTGGCATGCGCTTGTAGTTCCAGGTACTCAGGAGGCGGAGGCAGGAGAATCACTTGAACTTGGGAGGCGGAGGTTGCAGTGAGCCGAGATCACACCACAGCACTCCAGCCTGGGCGACAGAGCAAGACTCTGTCTCCAAAAAAAAAACCAAAAACCAAAAACCAAAACATGCTGGGAGATGACTCCAGGTTTTTCACTGCAAATCCCTAGGGCTCCAGATTCCATCTTAATGCCTCTTCCTACGAGAGTCTCCAAAGCCCCACAGGCTTTTTATTTTTATTTTATTTTTGAGATGGAGTCTTGCTCTGTAGCACTGGCTAGAGTGCAATAGCACAATCTCGGCTCACTGCAGCCTCCACCTCCCGGGTTCAAGAGTCTCCTGCCTCAGCCTCCTGAGTAGCTGGGATTACAGGCATGCACCATCACGCTCAGCTAGTTTTTGTATTTTTAGTAGAGACAGGGGTTTCACCATATTGGTCAGGCTGGTCTCGAACTCCTGACCTCATGATCCTCCCACCTCGGCCTCCCAAAGTGCTGGGATTATAGGCGTGAGCCACCGCGCCCGGCCAGCCCCAGAGGCTTTGAGGAGTTCCCAGGGTGGATCAGGCAGGCGAGTGGATTGTGCGGTCCTGGTCCCTCACGGTTGTCTGTTTCTCTTCCCCCACATCCTCCTCTTCTAGAACCCCTTGTTGGTGGAGGCTGAGGAGAAAGTCTCCTACAACTGCTGCCGCCAGGGCACCATCTGCTTGCAAATCCAAATGGAAAAGAACACCTTCACGCCGGGAGAGAAGGTTGTCTTCACAACAGAGATCAACAACCAGACCAGCAAATGCATCAAGACGGTCATATTCGCCCTGTATGCTCACGTTCAGTACGAGGGCTTTACGCCTGGCGCGGAGAGGCGGTCTCGGCTGGACAGCAGCGAGCTTCTGCGGCAGGAGGCCAACACCCACATGACCCGCTTCAACACCACGAAGATCGTCAGCACCTTCAACCTCCCAGCGCTGCTGTCCGTGAGCAGCAGCACACGGGACGGGGAGATCATGCACACTCGCTACGAGCTGGTCATCACCGTGCACCTGCCCTGGTCCCTGACCAGCCTCAAGGCCAAGGTTCCCATCATCATCACCAGCGCCTCAGTGGACTCTGCCGGCTGCCAGTCGTCAGAGGATGGAGTGTTACGCGTGAGCCCAGATCACCAGAATTAAGTGCCCAAACTTTTAAATATTAAAAGCTTTATTAGTCTCTACCGGGAGGAAGCTCTCTGTCTCGCACAGGTGACTCTCAGATGAGTTGAGGCGTAGGCAACACGTTGTCTGCAACCTCCCCGAGCTCTAGCGGTTTAGGTATCCGTGTCTCCCGTCTGTAGAACTATCACTGAATGCCTGGAATGGACAAAGGAAATTGGGAAGGTCTCCCAGGACCCAAACCCGGCATAGCCCGTGTTTTCCACCCTGAGTCTGCCCCCACCTACTGGGGTCTCACAGTGCCAAGACCAGGGGTCCTACTTGGGGGAAATTCTCCCCTCTGCTAATGTCTGGCTGTATTGACCGTCACAACTGCAGGGGATCAGGGGAGAAGAGAGTCCTACTGGTGTGGAGGGGGTGGAGGCCAGGGACGCTGTTCAGCACCCTGCAGTGTCCAGGATGGCTCCCCACAATCAGGAATTGTTTACCCTGAATGTCAACAGTACCAAAGGGGCTGGGCATGGTGGCTCATTCCTGTAATCCCAGGACTTTAGGAGGCCATGGTAGGAGGATCGTTTGAGACCAGGAGTTTGAGACCAGCCTGGGCAACATTGTGAGACCCCATCTCTACAAAAAAAAAAAAAAAAAGAAAAAAAGAGTGGGCCGGGCATGGTGGCCAACGCCTGTAATCCAGCACTTTTGGGAGGCGAGGCGGGTGGATCCAGCGAGGTCAGGAGATCGAGACCAATCCTGGATAACACAGTGAAACCCCATCTCTACTAAAAATACAAAAAAATTAGCCGGGTGTAGGTGGTGGCCGCCCTGTAGTCCCAACCTCATTCGGAGGGGGGGCAGGGCGGGCGAGACTCCGTGGGCGACAGGAGGACAAGTTGGGACCGAGATCCGCGCCACTGCATCCAGCCTGGGCAACAGAGCAAGACAGCGGTCTCAAAAAAAAAAATAAAGGGAATTAGGGGCGTGGGTGGTGGGCACCTGTATCCCAGCCTACTTGGGAGGCTGGGGAGGGAGAATGCAATGAACCAGGGAGGCGGAGCTTTGTCAGTGAACGCGATCACAGCCACTGAACTCCAGCCCTGGGTGACAGTGCAAAGAATTCCGTCTCCAAAAAAAAAAAAATTAGCGGGCGTGATGAGTGCTGACCTGTAATCCCAGCGTGCTCAGCAGGCTGAAGGTTAGGAGAATCTCTTGAACCTTGGGAGGCTGAGAGTTGCAGTGACTGAGATCATCCACTGCAACTCCACCCTGGGTTAACAAGTGCAAGAGGCAGTGTAAATAATACCCATATATAGTTGTGAGTAATATATATGTATATTGTGTTATATAGGAGAGAGTAATGTACATATTGTATTGGTGTGTGTATATGTATGTATATGTGTATGTGTAATAAATGTGTGTGTACGATGTAATACATGTGTGGTATAACTGTGTATACTATGTGTTATACAGAAGCTAAATGTGTATATATGTGTAATATGGTATAATGTATAGGTGTGTATATGTATATAATCTGTATATGATAGGAACTAGCGTGTATAGTGGTACTGTGTGTATATATGTGTGTGTGTAATAAGTGTATTGTGTATATATGTATATATTCGTGTATAAATGTATATATGTGTTAATTGTAAATATGTATATGTGTATTATGTATACTAATCGTGTAATATGTATTATGTGTATATGTGTAATATATGGTGATGTGTGATATATGTGTATACGGTGTATTATGCATATATGACAGGATCATATATGTATTATAATGTATAATAAAAATTACATGGCTGTAGTAGCACAGCACCTGTAGTCGCCCAGCTACTTCGGACCGAGGCTCGAGGCACAGGAGGACTCACTTGAGCCCAGGGAAGGTCGAGGCTGCAGTGAGCCATGATCATGTCACTTCTCTCCAGCGGGGTGACAAGAGAAGACCCTGTCTGAAAAAAAAAAAAAAGATAAAAAAAAAAAAAAAACACCCACGATATCACAGTAAAAAGGAGGAGAAACTGTGTGCTGGTATAATTCACAGAGGTTGCTGTAGAGCCCCGGGGCTGCTCTGTGGGTCTCATACCCGAGTCGGATCCTGTGTCCCCTCTGCCTACAGCAGCTTACGCTTCCTCCCCCACACTTGGGATCAATGCCAAAGTCTTCCTAGTGATGGGCCTGTGCCATCTGCCCACGTGCAATCCATCCATAAGCCATAGGGCTTCTGTCTCCACACTTCCCAGAATCTCCCACTTCTCCCCTTCCCTTGCCTCTACCCTGCTCTGGTCCACCTTTTTTGGTTTTGTGTTGTTTTTGACATGGAGTCTCCCTCTGTCTCCCAGGCTGGAGTACAGTGGTTTGATCTTGGCTCACTGCAACCTCCACCTCCTGGATTCAAGCAATTCTCCTGCCTCAGCCTCCTGGGACACCGTGCCCAACCTAAATTGGACTTTAGAGGAACAATAGAAATATTTAGTGTAAGTATATCCCATGCAGTATTTAGGATATAGTTATGCTTAAAAATCATTCACTGATGGCCAGGCGCAGTGGCTCACATCTATAATACCGGCACTTTGGGAGGCTGAGGCAGGTAGATCACTTGAGGTCAGGAGGTCAAGACCTGCCTGACCAACATGGAGAAAACCCATCTATACAAAAACTACAAAAATTAACCAGGCATGCTGACAGGCACCTGTAGTCTCAGCTACTCGGGAGGCTGAGGCAGGAGAATCACTCGAATCTCGTAAGCAGAGGTTGCAGTGAGCCAAGATCGCTTGTCCTCCAGCCTAGGTGACAAGTGAAACTCCATCTCAAAATATACATATATATAGTTTATCTGAAATTCTGATTTAATTGGGCATCCTGGATTTTACCTGGCACTTGTATTCCTGGAGCAACTCAAGGACTCTCAACATCAAACAGGCCATCCCATTCCTCCACTGAAAATCTCCATCAGGTCCCTACAGCATTTGAAGTAAAATCCAAAAGGCCTGGCTTCACCTGCAAGGGCCTGCATGCCTGAAATGAAGCAGTGGCTGACACTGGGTGTGGTGGCTCACGCCTATAATCCCAGCACTTTGGGAGGCCAAGGTGGGCAGATGTCTTAGGGTCAGGAGTTTGAGACCAGCCTGGCCAACATAGCGAGACCCTGTGTCTATTTTTCAATTTTTCTTTTTTTTTTTTGAGATGGAGTCTAGCTCTATTGCCCAGGCTGGAATGCAGTGGTACAATCTTGGCTCACTGCAAGCTCCGCCTCCCGGGTTCACGCCATTCTCCTGCCTCAGCCTCCTGAGTAGCTGCGACTACAGGCGCCCGCCACCACGCCTGGCTAGTTTTTTGTATTTTAGTAGAGACAGGGTTTCACCGTGTTAGCCAGGATGGTCTCGATCTCCTGACCTCATGATCTGCCCGCCTCGGCCTCCCAAAGTGCTGGGATTACAGGCGTGAGCCACCTCGTCTGGCCAATTTTTCTTAATAATAGTAAAATTAAATTAAATTAAATTTTAAAAAGAGTGGTCCAGGGTTTGTCTTCTTGGGGGAATGGCCCTGAAATACTTCTCCAACCACCTTCCAACAGCAACATATTGGTACCTCCCTCCCTCTTGCTGCAGAGTGTCTGTCAACCCTGCAGCCACGACACATTTGCACTTAAATGGTGGCCCCTGCCACATTCCAGAAGATTCTGGAAGACCCAGCCTCTCCATAGGGTGGAACCAAGACATTTAGTTTATTTATTTATTTATTTATTTATTTAGAATCATGCATTGCACTCCGCCTGGCCAATAAGGAGGGCAAACTCCATCTCAAAAAAAAAAAAAAAAAAGGGCCAGGCCACAGTGGGCTCATGCCTGGTAATTCCCAGCACTTCAGAGGCCGAGGCAGGTGGATCACGAAGGTCAGGGCTTGAGACCCATCCTGGCCAACATGGTGAAACCCCAGCTCTACTAAAGAGAGTTCCAAAAATTAGCCGGGTGGTGGTGACAGGCAGTCTGTAATTCCAGGTATTAGGGAGCTAGGCAGAGAATCGCTTGAACCCAGGAGGTGTGATGGTGTTGTAGTGAGCCGAGATCGCACCGCGTGCACTCCAGCCTGGCAACCAAAGTGAGACGCTGTCTCCAAATAATTTAAATAAATAAATTAAATAAAAAAGACGGCACAAACAAAAATTAAAACCTTAATCAAATCAAACTAAATCCTGTCCTTGGTTCCCACCCTATGGCCGAGGGGCGCTCTTCCCAGAACTTCTGGGAATGTGCAGGGACCATTTGAGTGCAAAATGTGTCCGTGGCTGCAGGGTTGACACGACACCTCTGCAGCAAGACGCGCGCGGCACGGTACCAAATACCTGTTGGCTGTTGGAACGGTGGTTTG